TGTCATTAAATGTACGTCCGTTAGTAACATCTAATGGACGTCCAAAACTGTGACAAAGTAACCTTAAATGAAAATCCGTAGGACGTCTGATGTATGTCGATGGACGTTTAATGTACGTCCACAAGTACAAAAAATATGTATTTTATAATCGTTCATGTTCATAAAGAGTAAACTCTAGTTACGCGTCAGAGCTGACACACACTTTTTTTTTAATTTTTAGAAATAACAATTTTTATTTTTGAAAAAATTAATTTTTTTCTTTGCTAGAAGACGAATCCAATAAGCTCTTGTTCGTATTTTCAGACAAGCGGAAAAACTCGATTCATTTCCTACAGAAAACTCACTTCTCGACTAGTATACCTACTCTCTTAAAATGAATTAGTCTAAAATAAATAATTATAAGTCATATATGACTAATTGTCAAAGCGAAAAAACAGTCACTAATAATTAGTCAAATTCTACTGAATGAAATAGTCAAATTAGTAGATTTAAATTTAAAAAAGTTGTGACCCAGCCGGGGTTTGAACTCCGATCTGTCGCTTGTCAAGCTTGTCAAGCGGATGTCATAACCAATCACTATCAGTCACTTTTATAAAATTTTATTTGTCTATAAATATTGTTCATAATATTAAACAAACGATTAAAGAAATTAGGTACTTTTAACTATTCGAAACAGTCAAAGATGGTGACTTATCTTAAATTAGTCAAACTTTAACTATTTAAGTAGTAAAATATAACCATTTTAAAGTGAAAACGACTACTTTATTAGTAAAAAATGCTGGTACTAATACAAATAGTAGAATTTTGACTATTTCATTTAATAGAGTAGAGTATTGTGAATGATGCTACTCAGGGCCGGACCTAAGGGGGGGAGTCGCCCCCCCAAAGTCTAGGCAGTTGGTTCCAAATCCAAACACGGTTGGCAAAATCTATTTGGGTAGGTTGGTAGGGTTTACCTACTCATCACAATAAATAAAATATAATTTTTAAACCATACATATTAGAAATTGTAATTTACAATATTATAATTTTTAACCTATTGTAACCTCCTATAATTGTTACCGTAAATAAAATTGTATTTTTTATGTTTAACCTAGTAGCTTAAATTTGGATTTTATTTGGATTTTTTTTGATATACCTACCTAGTAGGTTCCATTTTTTATATTTATAGCGTATACTTTTTATACTAGAGGGCCCAAGAGGACAAATGGACCAAAAGTCATTCTTCATAAAAAGTTCTGCTTGTTTTTAAAAGTCTATTACTATACTTTTTAATTTTATACGGGGGGTCGAAAAACAAGAAAACATGAAATACTCTCAGGAATAAACTACCTTTATTTTTCGTTTTGGAGCAAAATGACAAATATTATTATAAGGATATCCTATCCAAAGACTAATTGTAAAATTTCAACTCAGTATTCCAAATTTTCTTTTTCTTATAAAGTTTTAAAATTTAATTTCTAATTTATACTTTTGTACCTCATTTCACCTATAGGTAAAGGATACATATATGTTAGGGTTCTTAACCCGGACATTTTGTGTAAATTTACATTAATTACCAAAATGAACAATGATAGAATGCAAATTGTCAATTTGACGTTACTTGATTATTGTTGATTGTGTCATTTTTGTAAAAATGAAATTAAATTTTAAAACTAAGAAAAATAAAATTTGGAATAATATTCCAAATTTTATTTTTCCGAATACCAAGTTAAAATTTTACAAATGGTCTTTGAATACAATTTGAAATCTTTTTTTTATTTGTCATTTTGCTCAAAAACGAAAAATAAAGGTAGTTTACTCCTGAGAGTATTTCATGTTTTCTTGTTTTTTGACCCCCCTGTATAATATTTTCAAATTTAAAGTATGGCAATAGACTTTTTTAAACAAGCAGAACTTTTTATAAGGAATGACTTTTGGTCGAAAAATTAAAATTTTAGTCCATTTGTCCTCTTGGGCCCTCTATCCATGGACATACTGTATAAAAAAATAAGTTGGTTTTTTATCGTCTCCGCCCCCCCCAAAAAGTATGCCTCGGTAGGGCTCTGATGCTACTGTAGAATGAGAACCTCTACTCTATAGATTTCTGGTCAAATTCTTGGCCAAGAATCTGGAACAATTCTTGTCCCATTCTTGATAAAAAATCTGTACAAAGTATCTTGACCCATTCTGGCCCAAGTCTTGCCCAATAATCTTGGCCAAGAATCTGGAACAATTCTTGTCCGATTCTTGATAAAAAATCTGTACAAAGTATCTTGACCCATTCTGGCCCAAGTCTTTGACAAAATTGCTACTAGGGTACAATCTTAACAATTTTAATTTTATTGTAAAACATTAGTAGGTATTAGTTTATCTAATATATAAATAATTGATTAATGGAGGGAATAATTGTAATGAAGATAAATTTATTAATAATTGTAGGCGCATTGTTATATTATAATGTTATGTAAATGATATCTTGAATCAGGAATTATATTTACATGTTCGCATTAAAATAAGAAGACTATTATTAAACAAAATATACCTACTTATTTACAAACTATTATGCAATTCACTTTATCTTAATTTCCTGGATTGCCTTTTATTAGAAAATGCAAAATCATTTTATATTTTATTTTTGTTTTAATTTTCTAAAAAAATGAATTTCGATCAAAACTGAAAAAGATGAAAACCCTTTCCAAATAAGGGTCGATTTAAATAATAATTATAATTTTTACTATTTAAAAATACATTTTACAGGTTTTTATAATTTTCTTACTGGGTAAAAGAGCGTATGGGTCCTCTCTAAAAATGATTGATTATTTTGCTGAAAAGTGGTCATTTTTACCGACTTTAAAGCACTATATCTTCGTTTAATTAGTACAAAATTTTCAGGGTATACTAACAAAAATACGGTCTTTAACAGCATATTTTTTATTTACTTAAAAAAAGTCCCTATAAAAGTTTTTTTCAAACGTTTTTTTAATATTAAATAAAAGGGCTTTAAGGATATTTTTTCGAAAAACCCTTGAAAACGTAAACTGAGATATAAGTTAAAGTATTTTCATCCAAAATTTTATAAAGATTGGTAAAGGCGTTTTAGAGTTAGAATTTTTTTACTTATTATGCGTTAATTTTGACGGGCAGTGTAGTTATTCGGGGCTGCTTTTTCACTTGTACCATGGTTAATAATGGAATACCATGGTATCCCAAAATTATACAGCCAATTCTTATGTAAAATTGTCCCCTGAATCAGAAAATGTTGTCAAAAGTTAAAAAAGTAGAACAGTTTTTGAGATATAGTCATTTTTCCATTTAATATGGAATTGACTATATCTCAAAAACTGATCCATTTTTTATAATTTATGACGGTATTTTAAAATTCAGGGTACAATTTTACATAAGAATTGGCTGTTAAATTTTGGGATACCATGATATTCCACGGTTAACCATGGTACAAGTGAAAAAGCAGCCACTAATAACTATTAAATTAGTCATATTTGACTAATTCATTTTTAGAGAGTCAACAAGACAGGAAATCTTCTTACCTTAAAAAAAAGTCAATAAATAGAGACAATCTTGTCTTGATTGTTTTCTTGAAGGCTTGATACAAAGCTTGTATTCTAGAATTTCTTGATACAGCTTCGTTTGGTAAATTCCAGTTTAACCTCATTAATAAAAATGCGGCTCTGGTGGTTAGTTTTAGAGCAAAATAAAAGTTTAAAATTTAAATGAATTTCTAATTATTCAATAAATAGTAACTAGATATGCTCTTATATTTCTAATAGAACACGATTTTTCCGAACCAAATTTTGGTTTGAGAAGTGGGTCGGAATATATACCAACCCATGAAAGAAAAAATATTGTAGCCATTGTAATATTCTTGAAACTAGTGCCAAATTGGTACTGCCAATAAAAGTACTTTAACTCAATTAACTGCTAAGAGTACTAATGTCGATTCTTATGGCGTTCAAATCAAATCAAATAATGAGAATGAAGAGAATTTAAATACAACAAAGTAAGAACCTTGCCAACCTAATAGATTTGTGGAAGCAAGAAATAGAAAAATATTTAAAGTAGTTCTGAGAAAGATATACTGGACTGGTGAAAAGGACTTAAACATATTTATCTTGTTTTGTCAAAAATGGCAACCAGCAAGGTCAGTACCCTCAGAAAGGCAATTTTAAGAGCACAGTTAAAAAATATTTGTTAGACCCAGTAACAAAAGATTTTGTTGGAAATTGGGAACTTAAATGAAAAGAATTTTTATAAGAAATATTGCTTTATTAATCATATTCCTGAACGAAAAAATTAACACATACCCACATAAATAAACACAAAAATAACATACACACTCCATTCTGAAATTATCAAATTTGGTACAATATAATTATCAGTACTACTACAACACTTACTGATGTATTTTGTAAATTTTACCCACTTCACTGTATCCCCTAATTTAAGTATAAAAACCAGTGATGGCATCTTTTTTCGGATACTTCGCACCTCGCACACTCGTTAAATATATATAATCCGAATAACAAATTGTTATTAACAATAATAACAGATTTCTGGTAATAAACACTCTGGACAGTTGATACGAACACGTTACGAATTAAAATAGAGTAAGCTGAAACATAAGTTGCACTGGCTGAAGTCAGTTGAACTTGTTGATGCGTATTGTCAGTGGGAAATGTTTTGATTGACTGCCTGAAATCACGTGTACTTTTTCAACGAAATAATTTGTTAAACATTAACAAAATAATCGGTAACCTTTGAAATTAAGAAAATGCTTACAAATACCAAAATATTTTTTTGTCAATAAATCAATTTGCAAATAAAATTTAGTTTTTTATAATTCAATTTTAAATCAAAAACAAATTTCAAGAATTCTAGATTCTGAATCTTTCTATGAACTATAAAAAAATACATCTTAAAATTTAAAGGTTATGCAAAATATGAAGAAAAAAAAGAAATTAAAAATCATTAACGTTTATTTATGAAAAGCAATATGTTCGTAAGCCTATATACATAATACTGTTCTGAGTATCAATCATCTCATCCTATCTAACTTATAAAGTATATAAATACAAATAAACATATAAACTAATAAACATTAATTATACTACTACTACTGGACTAAAAAAATGAGTGCAACGACGAATCAATCACCATGAACACAGATCGTAGTATCGTTTGTGTTGGATCAATTATGGCAAAACAAAAAATGAAATGAATGAATGCATGAATTAAAACTAAAATTACTCAACAAAAATACTGATAATAATCACTAATAAATAAATACAAAATTCGGTGTTTGTACCATTTTTAGATCAGATTAGTGCGAAAGACCGTGTTCAATTTTCTTTACCACAGCGTTAAATCCGGTGTGCTTGTCGGCCGTGTAGCTCACGATTCTCTTGGAACCGTCTGGTTCTACGAGCGTGTATTCTCCCTTTACCTTGTCGCCGTCGCGGGTCTCCCATTGGGTCTTGATGTCGTGTGTGTGAAGATCGTGCACAGCGTAGTCGTAGTGGTATTTCGGTGGAGCCTAAAAAACGAACAACCGGTTATAACGAGCAATCGGTTATAGCGAACATCTGGTTATAACGAGCAACCGGTTATAACGACCCAAGTAACATTTTTAGTTTTATTATGGTCTTCAAAGTTTTATTATGGTCTTCAAGAACGCTTTAAAACTAAATTTTGTTTTAAAGCGTTCGTGAAGACCATACTAAAACTAAAAATGTTACTTGGGGAGCAACCGCTTATAATAAACACAAATCAAAGTCAAGCGGTCTTAAACGAACTATTTAAACGTATGTAGGTAGTTAAATCTTTGATAGCGTTAGTATTTTTACTAGTAAACTTATTGAATACGAAAGTATTAGTAAACATTAAACCTTAAGGCATTATTGACCAATACACCATGATTCGAATTACTAACATTGAGTACGCCCACCTATATTACCTAATTTTGGGCTGCTGATTTCAAAAATGCCACTCGTTTTGCTCCAGGACGTCTAGCATTCGAAATAATTGCGTAATAAAATGCTCTGCCCAAGTATCTCAAAATGTAAGTTTTTTGTTAATATTTTGTTTTGCCTTAAATCTATTTTGGATGTTCAGTATATTTTATACGTTTTTTGTCAAAAATATACAGGGATTTTTTTTTTCATTGTAGCCGTATACTACAGGGTGTCCGGGAAAAGGAGGTCAATCCGTTAACCATATATTCCTTGAGTCAAAACAATAAGACTTTCATAATACCATTTTATTACTCGAATTATTAAAAAAAATCAGTTTTAAATTTCAAACTTTGTCGCCCTGTATATCGAACATGAAGCTCTAAATTGAAAAATGGTATGGTCTTATTGTTTTAACTCAAGGAAGTGCTTGCAAATCCAAGTCCGACCGCCTTGGAAAGGACGGTTGTTCAATACCCGCGTGAAAAGAATAAGGATAGAATGCCAAACAGAATTTGATTGGTCAGAGCGTCAGGCGTGCGTATTGTAAGCGCCTTCTGTTTGGCGTTCTATCCTTGTTATTTTCACGCGTCCTTCCCAAACCGGTCGGACTTGTGTTTGCAAGCACTGTATGGTTAACGGATTGACCTCCTTTTCCCTGACACCCTGTAGAGTAGTATTAAATACCAAAATTAAGATATAAATGTTTTTTTGGTAAAAAGTATTTTTTTTTTGAAATTTTTGTGTCATTTTTTTAATTACTAATTAAATTGAAAAGGCAACGAAGTAAATGGGTTTAATTTGATATTTTTTTATTCATATCATGCCTAAAGTGCCCAAAAATTCATTCTCCAATCTTATTTATTAATAACTTAATTAAGTCGTATCAAAATTTAATATCGTATTGAAGTATAAAGGCGACGTTCAAGCACATTAAAGTGCATCTATTAATTATTGACATTTAAAATTTAAACTTTAAATTGTGTTTTTACTTAAAAGTTATTTTAAGAACCAAAAATGAAAAAAGAGCAGGAAATGGAAGTGGCAGAGAAAGAGAAAGGAGACGAACCTTTATGTCGTTGTAAATTTGTTTTGTTTGTGTTGCGGTACCTTTACGCCCAAGAAAAACCAAAACAATATTTCATTACAAAATTTTATGAGATATACCTACAGGAATATTAAATGGACCTGATATACGACGTTTAATGAAAGATGAAGCATTCAAAACTGCTCTCAAAGTTGACGAGCTTGTCGCATATGGCAGTGAGTGATAAAGCTGTCATTGAAAATGTTCTTGGTTCACATCGGGCCTAAAATTGGCGCCAATTCATTCAAAAAATGCTCTCCGTTTTGTAAAGAATTAGCGTTAATATGTCATTTAAAATAAATTTTCTTTTTTTTCATCCTGATAAATTTGCCGAACTGATGAACATGGAGAACAATTTCACCATGTAACTGCAAATTTAGAGCATTGGTAGATATTTATAGGTATAGCGGAAAGAAGTTGAATTCATTGCTAGGACACATTTTAAGAACAATATAATAATAATATAATTCAATTCGCTATTTGATACGATTTAATAAATTTAAGGTAGAAAAAAACAAAATTATGCAATGTGGGCTTAATTTGAATAAAAAATACCGAAACTTGTTTACTTTGTTGCCCATTCAATTCAATAAGTAAAATAAACGACAAAAAATGTCAAATAATGGTTGTTTTACATAAAATACATTAAAATTTTAGTTTTAGCATTTAAAATGTCATATTGTTAAGATAAATATGATCTATTTGCCGTATACCAACTACTTCAGTACATTCAAGATAAATTTAATCCAAAATAATTTAATAAATAATTAAAATACTAACAAAAAAACTTACATTTTGAGGTGATTGAGCAGAGCATTTTATTACGAAATTATTTTAAATCCTAGACGTCCTAGAGAAAAACAAATGACATTTTTGAAATCAGCGGCCCAAAATTAGCTAAAACAAGCTGGACTACTCAATGTTAGGAAAAAAAGTTTCTAAAACTATCATAGTGATATTATAAATTATATTAAGGCAATTAAAAAGTCTACAATTAGGGCTTAAATTGTCAACACAAAAAAAACAATACGGGGATAATTTTTCTTAAACTATTAATTTAACTTTAAATTATCATTTACCGCTAAACAGTTCTGTATAGTACTACATGATTGCAAGAAAATATACCTCTTGGAATTCACATCATTTGGCATTTCTCGTTCGAATCAAAGAAACCCGATTAACCTCAATAAATGAGTCACGTTCGATCGTATTAGCGTACGGCAAGTGTCTCATGAATGAAATACTACGGCTGAAAGTGAATTGATTCGAAGACTTTCAGTCGCACCGTGCGATCAACATAAAACAACGCAACTTTTGAATAACGATCTAGGAAGGCCGTGCGACGTTAGGAAGTTTAATAACGTAATTAACAAAGTTGGCGTTGGTTTACGAGTCGTGGCGTGCCGTATGCTATTAAAGTAAAATATTAGAGACAGTTCAAATAAGACTTTTTTGTATTGCAAAATCGTGTTTTATGGGTTTTTCTTAAGTACATAGTTCGGTTGCCGCACGATTCCCCTGGTTTATAAGGCACTCCATTTCAAATGAGAAAAAGGAACGAATAAATAAATGTATTTAAACTGTTTAGAATGTTATACCTAAAAGTTGCGTAATTAATAAAATAAAGATTGAAAATTAAAAAAAAAATATTTGAAAAAATCCTGTTAAAACCAAAAATCGTCATAAAAGTTAGTTTTACATGTATCTTTATTATCATCTAATTTCTTCGCTACTATACAGGGTGGCACCAAATAAATTGTCATCCTTTAATAAAGGTTTTTCTCCATTTTTGTATTAGTGCCATTTTGTTTTAATAAAAAAACCATTAAAATTTTTATAACTGATTTTGAATAAGTTGATTTGCTTGATATTACATAAATCTAAGTTTTTAATGAATTTTTATTAGATGACCCTGTATAACCATGTAAAATTTTAATATGACGGCCATAGAAAAACAAAAGATGGTGGTGGTAATTCAAAATGTAGTTGGCGTAAAAAATCACAATTTAGATGAACATGTAGAAGATAAACCTCATAGTTATTGGACACTTAAGGAATATTATTTATTTAAAATTTATATATGCCGTTTTAACGATTTTAGATTTTTTCTTATAAATATATAAAATGGATAGTTTGTTTAAACTTTATGTACGTTTACTTAAAAATAATAATATTTGAATTTTTAATAATAGTTTTATAAAAACATGCAAAAAAGTATAGTAATTGGACATTTTATATAGTAATTGGACACATAGTTAGTATTTAAACATTTTTAAATATAAATATATATTTTTTAAAGATAAATAATTTTTTTATTTCGTTTTGGTAAATATCAAATAAATCATATATTTCTTTCTCGGATTCCTCATCCCTTTTCTGGATTCTGAAGGTACGTAACTACTAATTCCTTGGTCTGACTTCCGAAATAGTTTGTTGTTGCAAATATCATTAAGTGTGGTATCTCTAGTTTATAATGTTTAGGCCGGAACAGGATGATTTATATATTATTTTTTCGGGTGGTATGTTAAAAGTATTCTCCGAATTTATTAATTTTGTTGCCATTACTTTTTTATGTTCTCTAACATGCATTATATAAATCACTGTTATTTTGCAAGATGTCCTGTGACGAAGAAATCACTTCTCTAAGAATGAATTTGTCAAATATGTCAGCCACTAATAATTTTCGTCAACAGCAATTTGTATCTAGGACATTTAGCAGTCAATGTCTATGAAATATTATTCGCTAAATCCTAAAATGTCGTCAAGTTATAAAAGAAAAGTTTTTGAAATATAATCAATTTTACATATAATATGGAATTGACTATATCTCAAAAACTGCTTAACTTTTATAGTTTCTGACGGTCTTTTCGGATTCAGGGGACAATTTTACATAAGAATTGGCTGGTAAATGTCCGGGATACAAATAGAGTCATATGACATATGTCCAATAATAGAAATTTACATATTTTACCAACCAGTAATTGGACACTGGCCATTTTACTGTTTGTTTTCAGAATTAAAATTAAAACGCATTAAAGTGTTTAAACCATGACGAACATATTTATACCACACACTGATCTGTACCCTTTTTAGAAATATTTTTTATTGTAATTTAAACACAGCCCTACTCTTAACCAAAAAACAAAAATCTTAACACCAAAGTAACTTGCGAACTTTTCTGTCCAAATTGGACCCAAAATAAAGTAGTTCTATATTATTACCGATTGAGATATTTATAATTGTATACAGCGTCATATAATGATTTGACTTTAAGGTAACTATTTATAGAACTCTTGTTTTTACAGTATTAATGTTAATTGTTCAATAACTATAAAGTGACCGATAACTGTCTACTTTACCCTATGTTTCTATAGTGATACTTTCTTTTCTTTTGAAAGGTTTTCAGTTTTTTTTTCAAATTATTTGAGAACCGTAGTTTTGTAATAACGCATTTTTTCCTTAATTTCACCGACCTTGTAGCTCTTTAAATAATAAAGAATCCCAAACATACAATATTTTTACTAAACATTTACTTTATGGAGTAGTTTTTTGCAATTATTCTCAATTCTATAAATCGTTTTATCTAATTAAAATTTGGTTTAAAATTAATTGATATTGTTTAATTATTTAAAAAAAAACACCAAAACGTATTATAAGAAGCGTATTTTAAAATTAGAAAAGTAAAATATAATTACAAAAAAATAAAATGATATAATAGGTATCTATTACACATTTTCTCGGGTTTTTCTTTTAACTAATTAAATATATTTAACGACCATATCGACAATAATAAGTATGTTTATCATTTTTTTATCTAATTGAGTCTTTACATGTAATGTCATGTAATTAGAAAGCTTTAAAAGGATCATATTCCAACTTAAGTTACAAACCAATTATTGCATATTTTCTTTATACCGTGCAAAGCCATAAACAACGAAAAAATTCGATCCAATAAACTTTATAGCGACGGCTTGGCAAAACTTGTTGCATATTTATTTTATATAAAAGGAAGTCGGAAATTCAGAGAGCGACATCCTGGAAAAACAATTGCATTTGTCAATCATCACGTAAACAGGATAACGTGATTATCGGAGCATTTCCAGTTGCATGATATGCGGAAAATAAACGGTTTTACATAATAATGCAAATAATGGAGTTTAATTGGCTGACATGCAGATCAGTTTCTTATATGCATGCTTTTTATTATTTTTAGTTACAGTTGGTAATATAAATAATAACTGTTTAAAAAAGATTTTAAACAACCAAAATATGAAATTAAGAAAATATATCATAAAAATATAACCATATATAACCATCTATAATTGGATATTTAAAATTATAAACAAATTAAAAAACTACATAGTTAAAAAGATGTTGTTTTATGGAATTGTGAAACACGAAATTGAAGTTTCTATGCTTCTGAAGGTAGTACATTATTTTTTTCTACTCCACCTTTAAAAGGCCCATTATCGCACATGTTTTAAATACACATTGACAAGTTGTGGCTTTATTGCGCTTTAGTCACAGGCTGAAGTTAGCAACAGGTTTTTAGTCGCGGGCTGAAGTTGGTTTTAAGTTAGTTGACAGTCAAACGTCATACAATCGTTAAAATAATGTGCCTTTCTTGTAAAATAATACTAAATGTGAAAATTATTTTATTATCTCAAAACAAAAATTAAATAGCTTCTTGATGCCAATATTTGCAAAAGTTTGTATTGATCTTTTGATTTCGCCGTAGTGGAGCAGTTAACTATCTGTTACCTATATATATAGATATAACGATAAAGCGTTAAAAATTTTGCGTACAGTGCCCATAAAACATTCTCTTCTCTTTTACTGTGAAAAACTGCTTCTACAGTGTGACCCATTTGTTTGCGACTCACCCCTGTAAAATCTTTATTAATAAAGATCGCACAATAAATTTATTGTGCGTAACCGGATTTGTTTTAAAGTGTAGATCTTGATAAACTGTATTTTTGGAGCAAAAGACGCCATATTAGTACAAAATACAAGGCCTACTATGTCACATGTATTAAATATTCTTACACGGGAAATGTGACAAAAGTGACAGTTGTATTTATTGGAATTCCCGTTAAAATTTCTAACTTTGGAATCTACCGGCGTTAAAATCTCACATTTTTCTGTGTAAATCAAAATTTATCCCTTAAAAATAGAGTAACAATCGATATACAGTGTGACCCATTTGTTTGCTGTAAAATCTTTATTTATTGCGCAATTTTAATTGGATTTGTTTTAAAGTGTAGATCTTGATAAACTGTAAAAAACGCCATATTTTTACAAAATACAAGGCATACAATGTCAATTTTTAAGAATTCATATTAGCGATTTTTTGAAACAAAATCTAAGCACAGCACTGGATTCACCACCACTTAAAACGACCCATGTTACTATAAGTTTAATTTTATTTCAATGTTTTTTTCATGGATAACTTGACAAAATAAATGTTTGTAGTTATTATTGTGCATTTTTCTACTTAATTTTTTTTTTAATTTAGTACAGTGTCGTTTTGAGGGGTGCCATGCTTAGATTTTGTTTAAAAAAATTTTTAATATAAATTTTAAAAAATTGACATTGTAGGCCTTGTATTTTGTAAAAATATGGCGTTTTTTACAGTTTATCAAGATCTACACTTTAAAACAAATTCAATTAAAATTGCGCAATAAATAAAGATTTTACAGCAAACAAATGGGTCACACTGTATATCGATTGTTACTCTATTTTCAAGGGATAAATTTTGATTTACACAGAAAAATGTGAGATTTTAACGCCGGTAGATTTCAAAGTTAGAAATTTTAACGGGAATTCCAATAAATACAACCGTCACTTTTGTCACATTTCCCATGTAAGAATATTTAATACATGTGATAATATTTTGCAATTATAGTAATACAAAAAATCACAGGATAAAATATTTTCTTAACATAATCATGATATGCATATTTTGAATATATTTTAACATTTTAAAGTATCAATATTTGAGGAGCATCCGTGCAAAACCGGCTAAATCCATTTTATTCAGTTTTTGTTTTTTTTTTATTTCGCATCTTTGGGTTCATTTCTATCGACAACCAAGATAATTCTGTTTAAATCCGACTATATCCATGTTAAAATCACATTTAAAAGGTAGCTTTAGGAGCAAAACCGGCCAAATCCACGTTTTTATAGCAAACCCGGCTATATCCAATAAATAATAATGATGATGATGAGCATGTGGCTTGGATATGTCTATACTACTACTAAAAATTTTTCTGTTTTTTCATGTTTGCACTAAATTCATTTTGTTAATATTTTTGAATATTAAAGGTTTTTTTTACATTTTATTCGGTTTTTGAGCAAAACCGGCTATATACAAAACATTTTTTGAAATTTTGGCCTTAATATAAAGTTTTTGAAAACGAAAGTATGTGTTAGTACCACAAAGTCCACAAAACTCAAGTTTGTTTTTTCTTTTATCTGTAAAGGCCAGGAAACCGAGAGTTTTTACCATTTTTCCAACATTTTATTTAAGTGGATATAGCCGGTTTTGCACGGATGCTCCTCAATTGTTAAGTTTAATTAAAATAATAACGGGCAATGTTCATGGTGAAATTACGTCAAAAATGTTTATTTTCTTATAGATGTCGCTTTATGCAAATATTTAATTTAAATCATTTTTTAGATAATATTAAGTATTTGTCGTAGACAATTTATAGTATTCAACTCGTTTATAAACTTTTCTAGGCACTCGTTTAATTAAGCACTTGCTCACAAGCTCGCTTGTGTCTAAATTAAAGTCTTGACTAAAATGGCGTTTATCAAACTTGATACATAATATACTATAAATCGGTTATGTGTTTCTTTAAAACCATTTTACTTTAACAAAAACAAATTAAATAAATTCTCTTACATGGTAATCGATGTATTCTTCTTGGTGATGACCACCGTGGCCGCCTCCGTGTCCCGATTCGATCTCGTTACCTTCGAGGCCGTGGAGTTCTTCGCCGCCTCCGTGCTCCTCGATGGCGTAGCCACCGTGGTCACCGTAGCCCTCCAATTCGTAGTGTCCGTAGCTGCCGCCTGGTCGGGCAGTCACTACCGCGAAAACTGCTGCTGCGAGGACCTAAATAAACAATAATTCAGTAAAATGTACCATGCTTACACCCTAAAGTCCCACCTTGACATTTAAACACAACTAATTGAGGTTATGTATCTGTCAGTTTAACTCTTTCGTCTTATTTTATATAAATAATTCAATACAATTTAAATTAAGACATTATTTTTATTAAAATGGCAAGTTGCTTCTTTTGGGTCATTACCGTGGTTTTCTATTATAATAGTCTAATATTAATTACAATGTTGAAAATCGTTCAAAAATCATAAAATCTCCACGCGGTCTATAATTTAAACTTTATTGTTGTCTCCATTCGATAAAGAAATACCTTGTTATGGCCTAGGCCGATAAAAATTTTTATGAGGCAAGTAATTAGTTCGATTTTTTCTCGCTAGGGGTATTGTTTTGACAAATTAATCATTTTCTAAGAAATTAACGTACTTAACTGGTTTAATTTATTTATAATAAGCACTAATTTGTTTGTTTTAGTGTCAATGTTTAATATTTTTCATTAAATTATTGTAAAATTAAATATGAATAATAAAACAAAAAGTGAGGTTAGGCAACCAAGAAAACGCACGATTCTTCTTCTACTATTTAAATTATATTTAAGTTTTAATTTGCTTTAAGTTTTCAGTGAAATTAAATGTTAAACACAGCTTAAACATTCCAAACTTCCTATTTTTTTAATAAAAATCCAAAAAATTGAAATTAGATACCTACCTATTTATTAAACAATTAATTGAATTCAATGTAATGGCAAAAATCCATTTCTACTTAAATCATGTAGCTAGGTATTGTCAAACTATTACTGCTTCTAAAAGCAATATTAATTATTGTACATTTAATGTAATCTTCAGCTAATAAATAAATGAGATTCTAAAAAAGTGAGGTTAGGCCGCTTTGGTGTTGAATTAAATTGACCTATATAAAGTGCTTTGAAGATAAAATGTTGTATGCCATTCGGCCAAGAAGTGCCTTTTTGTGCTTCGCTCAATTGTAGGCCTCCGCTACGCGTCGGCCTTCAAACCTTGAGCTTAGCACAAAAAGCCTTACTTCTTAACCTAATAATAAATAACTATTATATAAAAATTGGTTAAAAAAAAAACAAAAATTGAAAAAAAAATAATATAAAACATTGTGAATAAATTTTCAAAAGTTGGTTTTAAAAAAGTAGAAATAATTGCAAGAAATGGACAAAATCAGAAAATGTTATTATTCCTTTATTAAATTTAACAAAATCTTAGAAAATGATTATTAAAAAAATAGTATTTATTTGTTTGTTTAATAATTTTCTGTTTTATTATAAAAACAAATAAGAATATTGATACGTGTTTTTGTTAATTTTTTATAGAAAACTACAGAAAACATTGAATACAATAAAAAACGTATAATTTTTTCAATTGTGTCTAAGAAATAATATGGCAATGGCCGTTTGCAGACATATTGTTGTATGTCTTTTAAATCGCCCAGTTAGTTATTTTGAAGGTTAATTTTCTTTACAATATTTTCATAAAAATTCATAAAAAAAATATTATTTTAACGTTTGTGAAATACCTATAATAATTGGCGACAGTTATTTCCCAAGTTGTTTTTTTTTACTTTGGTATTATCTAAATTATTTGTTTACAGTCTAAAAATAATTTAACAATATAATTTCCTACAAAAATGTCTTTTTTTAGACACACATTACTCAGATATTACTTAGATAGGACTATCTACGTAATGTGTGAAAATGAAACTTGAAAATTTAATCAACGATATTAAAATAATTAAATTATTTTGATAATAAAAATAAATTCAATTTTAATTTAAATCAATCGTCGAATAAAAAATATTTTGTCATTTATATTAAAGATTATATTTGATTTAAGGCTAGTCCTGTAATACAGCGTTGTCATATGTCGAAAAATTTAGTGTTTACTCGTAAGTAAGGTTTTTTTATAAATTAATTTAAACATTTTTTCCTTCATTTATTTTTATAATCGTAATTTGGCAAAATAAGTTTTAAAAGACGCAAAATTAAAGCAGTAATAATAAAAAAGGATAATAAAAATAATTTAATTAAAAATTATCAAAAAATACGTTTTTAGTTTTATTAAATTTCGTTATTAAAATTTAAAAAAATGACAGATAAATAAAAAAAAATATTAAAAAATTTAAATCACTATAAAATTGTTTTTAAAACAATTAAGACTCTTATTCTTTTAATGTAAACTTGTCCTTTTTACAAAATTAAAAAGCACTTTTGCCAAAAATACAGTACACAAAAAAATCACTATACTCCGCCACTAAAAGCACAAAATCACAATAAATCCCGCATCAACCATAATTAGGTGCAATGTACTTACAATGTAGAATTGCATGGCTGTGTGTTCGTGTTTTTTTCGAAAAATTTCGAACCTGCCAAAGAATAAAACTAAACTGGCTTCGTTTACGGTGGTGTCGGATTTTATACCGTTAGGATTTTGCTGTGAAAGGACCCCCTCAATAATTCCGAAACAACGACCCCCCGCGCGATGCCGCTGCATCGCATTACCAGTGCCTTACACTTTCCCTTGATCTTGGATTGTTTCCTAGGCTTCCTGAGATTTCTGTGCAATATGTAACTGTAACACTGATCGCACAGTGGGTCGAACTAAAGAATTACAATGTTTAAGAGCGTGTTTAACTAATTAAAATATTTTTATAAGTTTATAAGTTTTTTAACTTCCTATAAATAAGGTTTTTGATTTTTTTTGAGATATCTACAGTGTAAAGTTTTGAGTAGCATATTTTTGAAGATCATTAAGTTATTAATTCACAAAGATTTGTAATTAAAAAAATTATTGTGGACACGTTTTACTTATTAATTCAAAAATATTATTGCCTTGTTTATTTAAAATATATTTAAAAAATTCACCCTGCATAAATGTGTATTTTTTGTTCCTGAATTTTGTCAACGCACTCAGAAACAAAATTTTCTCGCCGCTTTTCAAAACATTGTTTTGTTGTGAACATTTTTTCAAATTATTCGTTTTTTAATGAATTCTTTTTTTAATGGAAAAAATCTTAGCTTGTGTTGTCATGATGTTTTGTTTAATTTTTTATTTAAGTTTCGTTTTAATGTATGCCCTATTTTTCATTATTAAAAAAAATTCAAAAAAAAAACAAAAACCAAATTTCAAAAATTGTATGCTTGGCCATCGTGGGTCAACTATTTTTTCTATTATCCAAATTTTTTAAAAAGTTATTGACTATTAAAAAAAATCGTTAATTTTTTTAAAAAAATCTAAAAAAATCAGCAAGGATCTTTGAATAGGTACAAAAATATATCCCTATTCCAGCATAATCGCAGTTGCAAACTTATTTTATAAGTAAATTTGCCATAGAAAAACAATTATAATTGTTATAACTTATAAAGACCGGATTTTAGGCCCTTAAAAATTGGAAATTAGGACACATAAATAGGCAATAAAAACCTATGTTTTAGGACGTTTTAGGCCGAAAGTGTCTAAAATAGGCCTCGACCGCCTAAAATAGGCGATATGAAATAAAAACAACACGATTAAACATAACATTTATTCAGGTCTATCAATAAAAATAAAACAAAAAATACTTGCCATATGAATAAATGTATGTAATACATGTATGGAAATTACAGTAAAACCTATGAAAACAAAGTAAATAATAATTTTTAGCCATTATTTTACAAAATTAATATTATCCATAATTATTTATAATAAATATTTAGATAGCAAAGCTTCTAGGCGAAATAAGAGCATGAGAGCAGGGTCTAATTAAAAATAATTTACTTTTCGGCAATGAAAAATAGAGCCTATTTTAGGCTCATAAAAATGTCCTTTTAGGACAATAAATCAAAATTTCGCAATTTTAGGCTTTTAGGCAAAAACAAAGGGGTGTCAAACGCTTTATTTTTTTAAGTTTAGAATTAATTTCAAGGTCCCAAACAAATGCCTCAACTAGAAACAAAAAGGCATTTTGCCTAAAATCCGGTCCTTATGAGACCAATTGGTTATAAGTTTTAATTAATATAAACCTTAAGCCTTTATTTCTGAACATGACGAATGTAAATACTCTTTTGGAAATAATTTGAATAAAATTATTATTAATGGTATTTTTTTATATTTATGAAAAATTATAGTTTTTTTTTAAACTAATGCAATTTTTACACTTGAGTCCGAAACAGTTTCAAAAATGTTTCTGATTAATCATTTTTAAAACATTTTTCTTTTCAAGTGACAATTTATTTTGACTAAGAAAATAAAATCACTTTTAGCACACATAAGTACAGTATTTTTCTACAAACACCATTAAAAGTAAATGCGTTGGCATTTCTAAAGTTATTAAATTTATTTTTATCAGCTTTACCACATCGTGATGTTTTATTTTTTTCAATTCTAAAAAAAATCTTAAGATTATTATAAGAATTCTGTGTCAGAATTTTATTGAGATTAAGAACAGTACAAGTCCAAGTTTATTTTTTGTGTATAATAAAGCATGCACGTGGTAAAAAAAATATTTTTAGTTTAATGGACGTCTAAACTCATACACCACAGTTTGTCTGTACTTTTAAACCTGAAAAAATCCTAATAAACAAAATAAACAGTTTATTTTGTTTTCTCAAAATTCAAACATTTGGACCTGTACTGTTCTTATTCTCACCGATTCAATTGATAATCGATAGGTATTATTTATGTTTAAAGGTAGTGTAGTGAAACCATTTCAGAACACTCTTACTTTCAGTAAAGTGAAGATATGTCGTAACCCAACAAATTTATTTGTTTTAACGATTGTCTTTCCATGCTATACTAAGAATTTAGAACGGATTTGAGTTTCAAAGATTAATTTTAAAATATTTCGGAATTTATTTGCCAAACCAACTGGAATCTTAACAGTTATAGAAAATAGAAATGTTTTCACAAATAAATTAACATATCAAACAATTAAATTTGTTTAAGCCTAATTTATGATTAATATTTGAGTGCATTATTATTTTAATCGGTACAATGTAAATTATGATAATTGTTGAATAATTTTAATTTAGTTAAAATTAACATATTTATTAATTTTAATTATGTTTAAACTAGTTATCAAGTTTAATTAATATTACAGTATTATTATAAATTCCTTTTGGTGGTATTAATTGAATATATTCGGTCATTGTTATTAAATTTAATATATTTAAAATTTATGCGCACCATGGTTAATCATTTATTTAAATTAAACACTAATTCAACGTTAAATCGCATATTCCGACCGTATAGTTACAGTTAGCTAGCGCAACGAATGTCTACGTGTACGTTCATACATATGGACACCTAATAAACCGTTTTCTCCTAACAAATGGACTGGCAAACAAGCGTACATAATGTTATCATTCCAGCTGCATCTGCACGATTTGCATAAATAAAAGAAGACCCGCAACGCTTGTCCAGCTTTCTGCTGCAATCACTGCTTGTTTATTTATCGCTCCCCTTTATTGTTCTTACATTTTAAACTGCTCTATTATGCTGTTTTCACGCATTTTTTATTGCCCAGAACTGTTTCATACAATTTATTTTGTTTGGTTTAGAAACTCTTCCAGAATTGGGTAATTATTCACTAATTGATCTTTTAAATACACATTGACAAGCTATGGCTTTATGGCGATTTAGTCACGGGCTAAAATAATACTAAATGTAAAAATTATTGTATTATCTTAATACACAAATACAAAAGTATTAAATAGTTTCCCAACGCCAACATTTAAAAAGTTTATAAGTCTTGTGGTCGGCAGTAAACATTATCTTTACTTTCACTGTAAAAAACTGCTTCTATATTGGATTTAAAAACAGAAAAAATTGACATTTGCAGCTGGTTATCCCATTCTTACTTTTACTCTATTTTTGTATAGATAATTACTTTAAATTATTTTTAGATAATAATAAGAATTTGTATAAATAAAAAGTATAGTATGCTACTCGTAAACTTTTATAAACACTCATTTAATTAGGCACTCGCTCGGAAGCTCGCTCGTGCCTAAATTCGTAACTGAAATGACGTTTATCAAACTATTTTAAACGGAATTTTTAATGATTTTTCCTCGGGGCAAAACTAAATGTGGGGTCCTATTTTTTTAAATATTTCGTATGTTTGTTTACTTTTTAAAAAGCATGTATTTTATATTAAATAAATGTTTTTTAAAAGTATTTTGGTATCCCAACAAATGCTTTCAATCACTAACGCAAGAAACTTAAGCTAAACACAGATGCAATTATTATTACATATTATATGTTTATGGGTCATTCCATATCAAATCACCATATTTTAAAAATTGTATTTTTTGATTCAGTTAAATTTTTGATGTTTTTGTACATATCAAAAGATGCCTAACCCTAATTTTCAAAAACCCCGAAGATACGAATTTTTGAAAATCGTAAAAAAATACGATAGGGTAATTTTTAGAAATTCATAACTTCTGCTTAAATTATCGTAACCTCATTTGACCGGTGGCTATTTTCTTCGTTTTGAAATGCAGTTTTTGAAAAAATATATAAAAACCAAAATTTGTGTACAATGTTTTTTCTTAACTTCTAACTTAAATTTGACTTTTTTTGAATAGCGACTTTTTTGATTTTTTTGAAAAAAAAATATGTTAAACTAGACTGTAAAACTAATTTTTTGGCCCATAATGAAAGTGGGATTCAAATATCTTCGTTTTTTTAAGCCACTTTATAGCCATAAATTCAAGTTTTTTGAAAATTTTCTAATTTAGTTTCAAACTTTAAAATACAATTTTTAAAATTTGGTGATTTGATATGGAATGACCCATATATAGGTATAGGTATACAATTGTCCCGAGCGTTTTTTTGTACTCAGGCTTTGGAATTGACATTTGACTTGTTACCTTTGAACTTTAAGTTTATTCCAATATAAAAAAACACTCAGACAATTTTAATATCTGGACCTTGGAGCAAATGGGTATTAACTCCACTTTTTTAAATTTTTGAGATCACAATGACATTGTACATTGTATTCTAATATTTTTTTTATTTTTTAGAATACACTATACCTACCTTAAAATTAAAAAATGCCCTTGGGTTTTAAGTTACCATTAAGGATATGGGTCATTCTACCAAATAACATTTTTTTGTGGTGGATTTTTTCAATTTTGTGTTATTTTTTACATCAAAATAATGACTCACTAAGCTTTTAAGTTTAAGTACTTTCGTAGTAAATATTTTTCGATTTTTGTATGGAAATAATGTTAAATTAAAATAGAAACAGTACCTAAAGTTTTTTTGTAAAAAATCGTTGCGTTTTAATGAAAATATAAGACTCTTAAGAATTTAATTAAACTTATTATTAAAGTGATTAAAAAATAAGTAGCCATTTTTCTGGCCATGCGGCAATTTTTATTTCAAATTCGATACATTTTTTTTTATTAACAGCGAAGTTTACAAAAATCTTTTGTCAAATATTATGAGCTATTTAAATATAAAAAATAATATAAAAAAACAATATTTATCTCAAATTGAATATGTTAATGAAATAATACCACTTCTCTGCTTATTGTTTTTATTAAAAAAACGACTTATTTCAGACTGCTGTAAAATAGATCTTCAATTAAAAAAAAATATTTATCTCCTTCCTCAAGTCTTCTTGCCATTATCAA